GGTAGCAAACAGAGGCCTCCTAGATTCAGGCTAGAAGGTTTGGCTGTGTCGATTCTTCCTTTGTAGCAATATTGCCCACAACCACCCAGCACCAGCTTTGTCCAGGCTCTTACTTCATCTATCCATCAGATGACCATTCAGAAGTCACAGCCAAAAAAGGATAAGTTGGGAGATTATAAATTAAACCTTTTGCTTTAATTCTGCACTATATTTTCATTGGGTAATTTATTGAGTCAAAAATGAATGATTTGTTGGATCTCGAGTGACACTGTTGTTTTCTCTGAGGATTGTCAAGCTGAATTAGATATAGATCAACCCCTGCCTCTATTCTTGTATTAGTTAACTTATTCACACAGTCACAAGCATTTTGAACCCATAGTGTGCCAAGAACGCCTGAGGACGCTGGGTTACAACAGGATAGAAATCAACACGCATGTTCTCACGGAACTGCCATGTGGAGTGGTGTGTGCATGTGACGGGAGCTGGCCTTTAGTGGCTGTGGTACACGTGTACTTGACTGTTCAGACTGCAACACACCATTTTAAATGTAACCAGAGGGGTAGTGTCTGGTGACTCTGAAAGCTTGGTGTATGAAAAACTGCATTCAGTTTAGAGTTGAACTTCTTGGGAAAGATGTCTTTTGAGTTAACGCTTAAAGGTGTTTGATGCAGTTAGATGTGCAGAAAGGGTCTTGGCCAAGAGGGAGGGGGCACTGCAGCCTGAGGGGCACCGTGGAGAACGTGGGGGAGGATTGGGGAAGCTGAGAAGCAGGACAAGTGCAGAACTGAGCTCAGGAAGGGGCTGTGGAAACCAGGCTGGAGAGGTTTAGGCCACACGTGCAGATGCCACATTCACCATCCAAAGCTTTAGTTAGACTTTCCTTTTGGGGTTGGGAGAGGTTGAAGCAGGAGGCTGGTATAATCAGATCTGTGTGTGAGAAAGACCACGTTGCCTGGCAATGTGGGGGTGGACTTGTGTGGTCATGATGGGGGTCAAAGGGAGGAGGGCTTCGGGGACTCTCAGAGTTCCAGCAGAGTGGTGCCTCCAGAACTGAGGAAGGGAAGGACAGAGAGAG